GAATCTGGTCCCCAAACGTTGGAACTGGTGAAATTGTGAACACCTAAAGTCGAGGGTCTCCAGAAGATCAGGTTGGGGACGAGTTCGTCCTCTGGGATATAGTCCCCCAGAAGGTAGAATCGGGAAACTACTGAACACCTGAAGTTGAGGGTCTTAAGGAGTGCCAGGCAGGAAACCCTACACCATTTCGGACAAATGGCTGTCCAGTCTCTTCTTAAAAATTTCCAGTGTTGGAGTAGTTCCCCAGTGCTCCAGGATCTTTGAAAAATATAGTTCACACTTAGAATACGGCATCCAGTTTTGGTCACCACGATGTAAAAAAGATGTTGAGACTCTAGAAAGAGTGCAGAGAAGAGCAACAAAGATGATCAGGGGACTGGAGGCTAAAACATATCAGGAACGGTTGCTGGAATTGGGTATGTCCAGTTTAAGGAAGAGAAGGACGAGGGGGGACAGGATAGCAGCCTTCCAGTATCTCAGGGGCTGCCCCAAAGAAGAGGGAGTCAAGCTGTCCTCCAAAGCGCCTGAAGGCAGGACAAGAAGCAACGGATGGAAACTGATCAAGGAGAGAAGCAACCCAGAACTAAGGAGGAATTTCCTGACAGTGAGAACAATTAACCAGTGGAACAACCTGCCTCCAGAAGCGGTGAATGCTCCAACACTGGAAGTTTAAGAAGAGACTGGACAGCCATTGGTCCAAAATGGTATAGGGTTTCCTGCCTGAGTAGGGGGTTGGACTCAATGACCTCCAAGGTCCCTTTCAACTTTATTATTATTATTATTATTATTGTTGTTGTTGTTGTTGTTGCATATTATCTGGGTACATATGTTTAAACAACAATAATAGATATAGTAATAAGTGATAACAATAAGTATGGTTAATTATCTTAGGCAATAGTAGTTAATCACTCCATGTCATCCTTCATGCTGATATGTACTCAAAATTACATATCACATTCCTTTCTCTCTGAGTCGTTTTTCTAGCCATTGATAAAAATTATCCCATGTTCTAAAGTAAACTGAATTTTCTTTCTCTTTAATCTCTAAAGCCAATCTGTCCCATTTCTGCCCACTCTAGAATTTTTTTTTAATTAATACTTCTTCAACTTGGCAAGTTTTCACTTTTCCAATATTGGGCAAATACAATTCTTGCTGCTGTTAATACATGTCATATTAGATATCCGTTCTCTTTCTCGTCGTTAGCTCCTGTTATTCCTAACAGGAACGATTCTGGTTTAAAGTCTATTTGTTTTCTAGTCATCTTCTCCAACCGTGAATGTATTTTAACCCAAACCCTTTTTGCTTTAGGGCAGTGGTGGCGAACCTATGGCACGGGTGCCAGAGGCGGCACTCAGAGCCCTCTCTGTGGGCACACGTGCCATCGCCCCAGTCCTAGGCCTTCAGCTGGGTTTTATAAAACCTTTTCGCTTTAGGCCTCCGCCGCCGTGTGCAAAAAAAAAAAAGGTTCAATCAATCAATTTCAACTTCTCGCGGGGAAAAAAAAGTTCTTGCAAAGTTGGAATTGATTGATTGAACTTTTTAGTCCCACCCAGTCTGCCGTTACCACCAGAGCCACGCCCACCCAATGGGCCGTGCCCACACAATGGGCCACACCCACCCGGCACCCGACGATGCATAAGTGGGTTTTGGGTTGCAGTTTGGGCACTCGGTCTCTAAAAAGTTCGCCATCACTGCTTTAGGGCATTTTCCCCTGATCTTTCTGTGCCACAGCTGCCCTCAGAGAAGTGCAGGTAGACCATTCCAGCCCATGGAGGCTCCTCTTGGCTTGGTCCTCCGGCCTCCGTTCAAAAACCTCCCAATTAATTAGGGGGGCAGGAAGAGAACCCCCCAAAAAATTGTGCAAAAGAGGCGTGCAAGGCCGGTCCGATCTCCCGCACGACGGCCGCCATAGGGGGGGGAACGTTGGGCCGCCGATGGGCGGAGGATGGGCCCGTCCTGGCACGAGCCGCGGGTGACTTGTTACGCCACTTTCTCGGAGGTGTAAAGTCCGCCCTGGCCGCGTAAAAATCCGGGCGAGATCTGGGCCGGATCGCTTTCTGGCTTGTGGCTAAGGGATCCATGCAGATGGTGGTTGATGATTAGCCAAAGTTTGCACACATTACGACAGCTTAGCAAGCCAGCTTCGGCTGCGTCTCGCTCCTCGTCTCTTCCTGGGTGCTCCGGATTCGGACAGGATCAACTAATTTTTTCCCATTATACCTGCCGGGCTGCGCAAGATTTCAGAGGAGGAATTGACGATCCAGCATTTAAACCAATTGCCCTGGTTTGTTATCTTCCCAACAGCCTTGCAGGGTAGGAGGGGAGAAAAGGGGATTCTCCCCATGGGCTGGGTTCGGAAGGCATGGCGAGAAAAGGATTGGCCAGGCAAGTTGCGGTGTATTTGTTAATTCATTGATCTCTTTCTTGATCTATGTCTATTTATTTAGGTTCTGCCTTTATAAATCATCCAAGGCAGCGAACGTATCCAGTGTATCTTCGTCTTATTTTCCCCATAACAACAACCCTATCAGGTAGTCTGGAGGGAGGGAGAGGGACCGGTACAAAGATACCCAGCCAGCTTTTATGCCTAAGGCAGGACTAGAACTCACCGTCACCTGGTGATTGCCTCAGAGTCACCCTGATGGCTTTCGCGGGGGGGGGGGGGGGACCCTCTAAAATAAACAGAAAGGAAAGATAAAATTAATAGAGTAATCAAAGGCAAGCCTGCAAGGTTGATTCTTCCTCTATTTAGGCAGAATGAAGGGGGTACCTTGCTCAATAGTAACAACTGAGAGAGGGACTTCGGAGTCCTAGTGGACGATCCCTTAAATAGGAGCCAGCCGTGTGCTGCAGCTGCCAAAAAAGGCCAACACAGTGCTAGGCTGCATTAACAGAGGGATAGAATCAAGATCGCGTGAAGTATTAATACCACTTTACAAGGCCTTGGTAAGGCCACACTTGGAATCCTGCATCCAGTTTTGGTCACCAGGATGTAAAAAAGATGCTGAGACTCTAGAAAGAGTGCAGAGAAGAGCAACAAAGAGGATTAGGGGACCGGAGGCTAAAACATATAAGGAAGGGTTGCTGGAATTAGGTACGTCTAGTTTAATGAAGAGAAGGAAGAGGGGAGACATGATAGCAAGTCTTCCAGTATCTCAGGGGCTGCCCCAAAGAAGAGGGAGTCAAGCTATCCTCCAGAGCGCCTGAAGGCAGGACAAGAAGCCACGGATGGAAACTAATCAAGGAGAGAAGCAACCTAGAACTAAGGAGAAACTTCCTGACAGTGAGAACAATTAACCAGTGGAACAACCTGCCTCCAGAAGTTGTGGGTGCTCCATCACTGGAGGCTTTTAAGAAGAGACTAGACAGCCATTTGTCTGAAATGGTGTAGGGTTTCCTGCCTGAGCAGGGGGTTGGGCCAGATGACCTCCAAGGTCCCTTCCAACTTTTATTATTATTATAGATTTATTTATTTATTTATTTATTTATTTATTTATTACATTTATATCCCGCCCTTCTCCTTGCGGACTCAGGGCGGCTAACAATTGGATAAAAAACAAACATATAAACACCTATTAAAATTGATTAAAAAGAAATATTTAAATTCATCAGATTAAAAGTAATTAAAACCCCTTTAAAATCCCTTAGGCCAGTCCCGCAAGCTGGAACAACCACGTCTTGAGGGCGCGGCGGAAGGAAGGGAGATCAGGGATCACCCTGATTTCTGGGGGCAGTTCGTTCCAGAGGGTGGGAGCTCCCACAGAGAAGGCCCTCCCCCTTGGGGTCGCCAGCCGGCACTGTCTGGCCGACGGCACCCTGAGGAGACCCACTCTGTGGGAGCGTACAGGTCGATGGGAGGTAATCTGTGGCAGGAGGCGGTCTCGAAGGTAACCAGGTCCGATGCCATGGAGCGCTTTGAAGATAATAGTCAACACCTTGAAGCGCACCCGGAAGGCCACCGGCAGCCAATGCAGCTCGCGCAAAAGCGGCGTAACGTGGGAGCGACGAGTCCCTCCCAACACCGCCCACGCGGCCACATTTTGGACTAGCTGGAGCCTCCGGGTGCTCCTCAAGGGGAGCCCCATGTAGAGAGCACACATTTGCCAACTTAATTGCGATCCTGAAAAATTAACAAAGCTGCCTTTCCATTTTCCACCTTTGGAGAAGTGGCAAAAGTCGCGAGATAACTACGAGAATCTGCAGGGGAGGGTAAAATAAAACTTGAGATGGTGGCCCCCAACAGTCCAATGGAAGCCGCCATCTTGACTTTTTTGACCTCTCTCTCTCTCTCCGCCACATCAAGCACACTGCAGACTGCAGACTGAGTCAGCTCCCCCTCGACTTATAAAATTCGTTCAGCACTCCGAAAAGGGACTTGTGGCTGTTTTTCACCCTTACGACCGTTGCTATTGGTAGTCCTTGATTTATGACGGGTCGTTTAATGACCATTCAAAGTTACAATGCCCCCCCCAGGGGTACAGGTAGGCCTCGAATTACACCCCTTCATTTAGTGACTGTTCGAACGTACAACGGCACTGAAAAAAAATGACGTCGGACCGTTGTTTTCACAGTCACCAGGGTTATAGCATCCCCGTTGTCACGTGGTCAAGGTTCAGAACTGACTCACAGTTACGACGGTCGCCGCATCCCGGGGTGATGGGATTGCGACTTTCTGACGAGCAAAGTCAATGGGGAAGCCAGACCCGCTTAACAACTGGGTGACCGGTTTAACGACGACGCTTAAGAACTGTGGCCGGGGAAGGTCATAAAACGGGGCAAAATGCACCTCTGCCTCAGGGATGGAAATGTTGATGTCAGTTGTGACCGTCCATTGTAATCACCTCTCTGTGTGTTTTCTCTCCACGGCTGCAACAGTCGGGGTGTGTTTACCGACCTCGCCGAGAGTGAAGTCGCGGTCGCCAAAACGTTCTCCAGGCCGTCTGCAGCCAGAAGCTTACGTGGCCCATGGACAAGGGGACGGCTATCTTCTAACCGGTGGGATGGAGAAGACAGTCTCCGAGGAGGAGACCCAACCCCTGCCCTCCCCGAAGGGGTCTTTGGACTGCAAAGATGGAAGTGATTGCACGGAGGACCGACATCTCCTGGACAAGACCCCCAAGCCAACCTTGGAACTGACCGATGGGGTCCAGAAACCCAACACCAGCCACGGGGAGAACCGGGCTACCAGTCCAGTGTCCAATGGGTTTTCTGGAGCCCAGAGCCCGCTCAGTGCTGGCAAGATGGCAGGAGACAACCAGGGTCTTCCCTCTGGACCCTCCACTACCCTGCCTACCACCGCCATCTTTGGGGTGGTGGGACCCCAACCGCCCTTGACGGCACAGCGGGAGAGGGAGACCTGGAGTAAAAAAATAGACTTTCTTCTCTCGGTCATTGGCTACGCAGTGGACCTGGGCAACGTGTGGCGTTTTCCGTACATATGTTACCAAAATGGAGGAGGTGAGTTCCAGTGCTTGAAAGAACATAGAATAATAAAGTTGGAAGGGACCTCAGAGGTCTTCTAGTCCAGCCCCCTGCTCAAGCAGGAGACCCTAAATCATTTCAGACAAGTGACTGTCCAATCTCTTCTTAAAAGGCTCCAGGGATGGAGCACCCACAACCTCTAGAGGCAAGGAGTTCCACTGGTTAATTGTCCTCACTGTTAGGAAGTTTCTCCTTAATTCCAGGTTGCTTCTCGAATAGAATAGAATAGAATAGAATAGAATATTATAGAATAGAATAGAATTTAGAATAGAATAGAATAGAATTTAGAATAGAATTTAGAATAGAATAGAATAGAATAGAATAGAATAGAATAGAATTTAGAATAGAATAGAATAGAATAGAATAGAATTTAGAATAGAATTTAGAATAGAATAGAATAGAATAGAATTTAGAATAGAAATAGAATAGAATAGAATAGAATATAGAATAGAATAGAATAGAATAGAATAGAATAGAATAGAATAGTGGAATGGAATGGAATGGAATGGAATAGAAGGGAATAATAGAATAGAATAGAATAGAATAGAATAGAATAGAATAGAATAGAATAGAATAGAATAGAATAGAATGATGGGATGGGATGGGGTGGGATGGGATGAGATGGGATGGGATGGGATGGGATGGGATAGAATAGAACAGAACAGAACAGAACAGAACAGAACAGAACAGGAATAGAATAGAATAGAATAGAATAGAATAGAATAGAATAGAATAGAATAGAATAGAATAGAATAGAATAGAATAGAATAGAATAATGGAATAGAAGAGAAGAGAAGAGAATTTGAAATAGACTAGAGTAGAGTAGAGTACCACTGTATTTAGAATAGAATAATAAAGTTCGAAGGGACCTTGGAGGTCATCTGGTCCAACCCCTTGCTCAAGCAGGAGACCCTATATTATTTCAGATAAATGGTTGTCCGATCTCTTCTTAAAAGCTTCCAGTGTTGGAGCAACCACAACTTCTGGTGGCAAGCTGTTCTACTGGTTAATTGTCCTCACCATCGGGAAAATTTCATTAATTCCAGGTTGCTTCTCTCCTTGATAAATTTCCACCTGGTATTTCTTGTCCTGCCTTCTTGTGCTTTGGTGATTAACGTGACCCTCCTCTTCGGCGTGGCAGCCCCTCAAATTTTGGAAGACTGCTATCATGTCCCCCCTCGTCCTTTTCTCCAGACTGGCCGTACCCAATTCTTGCAACCGTTCTTCATATGTTTTATCCTGCAGTCCCCTAAAATCTTCTCCGTTGCTCTTCTCTGCACTCTTTCCAGAGTCTCAGCGTCTTTTTTTATATCGTGGCGACCACAGAGTAACGGATCCTCCACCGTGTAGGGAGGCAAATTGACAAAAGGAGTAAGTCTTTAGAAACTTCCACCATCCCCAATTATGCTTGAACTCCAAAAATTCAGCATGGTGACCTCGATCGGATGGCGATGGCCCCCATCCTGAACTTTCTGACTTCCATCTGTAGATGTTCCTCGTTGTGGGATGTCTACTGCCACTTCCCAAAGTTCCTTCATGGTGGTTTGCCAGACACATCCGTTCCCGTGTGGCATCAGCCCAAACTTGCTTCTTAAAACAAAGATGATTAGGGGATTGGAGGCTAAAATATATAAGGAACGGTTGCTGGAATTGGGGATGTCTAGTTTAATGAAGAGAAGGACGAGGGGGGACATGATAGCAGTCTTCCAGTATCTCAGGGGCTGCCCCAAAGAAGAGGGAGTCAAGCTGTTCTCCAAAGCGCCTGAAGGCAGGACAAGAAGCAACGGATGGAAACTCATCAAGGAGAGAAGCAACCTAGAACTAAGGAGAAACTTCCTGACAGTGAGGACAATTAGCCAGTGGAACTCCTTGCCTCCAGAAGCGATGAATGCTCCAACACTGGAAGTTTTTAAGAAGAGACTAGACAGCCATTTGTCTGAAATGGTATAAGGTTTCCTGCCTGAGCAGGGGGTTGGACTCGATGATCTCCAAGCTCCCTTCCAACTCTGTTATTCTATTCTATTCTATTCTATTCTATTCTATTCTATTCTATTCTATTCTATTCTATTCTATTCTGTATTCTGTATTCTGTATTCTGTATTCTGTATTCTGTATTCTGTATTCTGGACAGGCATTTGTCTGAAATGGTATAGGGTTTCCTGCCTGAGCAGGGGGTTGGACTAGATGACCTCCAAGGTCCCTTCCAACTCTATTCTATTCTAAATACAGTGGTATCTCCTTACTCAACTGCTTTGAAACTCATCCAATTTGGTACTCCGTGCATTTTGATGTGAAAATGTTGTCCCGGTATGTTTGTTCGGTGCTCAACACGCAAGCTAGAACTGGTTTGTATCGGCTGCCTTGTGTCACAACTTGTTATTCCTTGTGGGGAAAATTTGATTGCTCCTTATTGTTTTTGGTACTCCTTGCGCCTCTGGGTACCAATTAATGATAATTTGTCTGAAATGGTATAGGGTTTCCTTCCTGAGCAGGGGGTTGGACTAGATGATCTCCAAGGACCCTTCCAACTTTATTATTATTATTACTATTACTATTACTATTACTATTACTATTACTATTACTATTATTATTATTATTATTATTATTATTAGTAGTAGTAGTAGTAGTAGTAGTAGTAGTAGTAGTAGTAGTAGTAGAGCTGGTTCTCAAGTTAGGAGCACAAGGGGGCCTAAAATTTCTGAGATTTTTGTTAGGTGAGTTTTGTTCCCTTTTACAATTTTCCTTGCCATGGTTGTTAAACGAATCACTGCCGTAGTAAATGGGTTGTTAAGCGAATCCGGCTTCCTCCACGGACTCTGGCAGAAGGCCGCAAAAGGGGGTCACGTGACCCCGGGCAACTGCGACTGTCATAAATACAAGTCAGTTGCCAAGTGTCTGAATTTTGATCGCTTACGACCGATCGTAAGTGTGAAAAACGGTCATAACTCGCTTTCCCCCGTGCCGTTGTAACTTTGAACGGTCACTAAACGAACGGTTGTAAGTTGAGGGTTATCTCTACCGAGGTGCCACTGTATTTTGTCGCTTCTGTTTGCAATACAGAATAACAGAGCTGGAAGGGACCCTGGAGGTCTTCTAGTCCAACCCCCTGCTCCAGCAGGAGACCTTTACGGAATCACAGAATAACATAGTTGGAAGGGACCCTGGAGGCCTTCTAGTCCAGCCCCTTTCTGATCCTCTCCTTTCACTTAGGGGCCTTCCTCATCCCGTACACAATCATGGCCATCTTCGGAGGGATCCCTCTCTTCTACATGGAGCTGGCGCTGGGGCAGTACCACCGCCACGGCTGCATCTCCATCTGGAGGAAGGTCTGCCCCATCTTCAAAGGTAATTCAGGAGGGCAAGGATTATGGGCATTGGGGGCTTCCTTGCAGACGTTTC